TGCCATTTCTATTAGTTTAGAACACATGATATTATATAGAGTAAAAACTTTAGAACATTTAAAGAAACCTTTAAAAACATATAAAGAAAACTTTAGAACATATAAAGAAAATATTTTGAACATAAAGAGAAAAGTTAAAATATAAAGGAAAACTTTAGAACAAAATGAATAACTTTATATTCTAAACATTAGAGCATATTAAATTACACTAAAGCAGAAAGAATAAACATTAGAACATAGAGAAAACACTTTAGAACATAGAAAAGTAACTTTAGAACAAAGAGAAAACACTTTAGAACATATTGAATTACTTTAAGAACATATATGAATAACTTTATGTTCTAAACTTGCTTAAAACATAATTACTTTAGAACAAAATAAATATAAGAAAATTAAAAATAAAGTTTACTTACAATATCACTTGACTTTTCCAGGGCAATTACGACTATCATGATAACCAAGCTCCCCACATGCTCTACATAATCTCTTCTTCTTTTGACTTTGTTCAATAGACTTTTCTCTTTCACTCTTCATTCTTTTGTCACTATTTGGAACATGAACCTCATTTGGAACATGGACATCATTTGGAACATGGACATCATTTGGAACATTTACCTGATTTGGAACATGAACCTGATTTGGAACATGGACATCATTTGGAACATTGACCTGATTTGGAACATGAACCCCCGTGCCTTTGTTCTTCGAAATTTTAGGAGGTTTGATTAAAACATTAGAAGGTAGACTAGCTCCAATAAGCATTTCAATGTCTTTAACTTTGCTCGAAAGATTGTTTGCTTCCATTTGTTTTCTTCTGTTCCAAATCTACCCTCATGGCTCGAAGTTTTTTGACAAGATCACTAAGATCATCTTCATTGTTTTGCACTAAACTCACACAAGCATGAATTTCAGACCATAAATCATTTAATAACATTTTCTTATCTACTGCATTAATACATTCCTCAACACATTACCCTCTAAATCAAAAATGGGCTTCTTATAAGCCATTGTACACCATCTATTTAGAATGTAGGCCTTGGGAATTTTTTCTAAACATCCTTGCCTTCCACACCCAAATCATATGCCTACAAGGCACACCATCACGTTCAAATTTTTTACAAAAACACTTGGTATCAAAGGTAGTTGGATCAAAAACAACATCAAAAGTCCTCCTTCTAGTTCCTTCCCTCAAATTGAAAATGTAAAGCTCATTGTCCTTCTTCATCTCCTCAACACCACAATTTAAAACATCCAATTTCAAGCTCATATTGAAATTCATAGAAAATTGTTGTTGTAAAACAATTCAGAAGCATCTTTCTCTAAAGGAATTGGAGTCTTACACTCCGGACGCTTATTCTTCGAATCATTATCCATTTTATTTGAGTGTGCCTTTGAGCATCCAATGCACATTCAAACCTATAGAAAATAGAAATTAACTTTAAAACATAGAAGATAATTGTAGAACATAGAGTGAATTACATTAGAACATATAAATATACATGACATGTTTATTATGATCTAAATATTATTAAAACATAAAGAGAAAAAGAAAACATAAAAGAGAATTATAAAATAAAATAGTAAAACTATAAAGCATAAAAGAAAACTTTAGAGCATACAAGGAAACTTTAGAACATAAAGAGTAACTTTAGAACATATATAGACAATTACTTATTACCTCATGTAGAACTCAATCAAAGTGAGATGGGGATTTGTGAACATAGTGAAAAAAATTATTTTCACTTTCTGATCTAGATGTGGTTCTCATAATGCCACCCAAAAATAAATCTCTGAAATACGCTGGAATCCACATATCACGTATGTTGTACATGTATGCCAACCATTCATGATCGTTCAAATGGAATTCTGAAATAACTTTGTTCCACTTTTCTTCAAATTCTGCCGGCTCAATCTCTAAATGCCAAACACATGAACACAGTTTTTTCAAGAAATCAGTGTCTTGGGCAATCGCCCGACCTACTTTTTCAGGCACCTTTTTCATAATATGCCACATACAAAACCTATGTTCTGTAGTTTGAAAAACATTACGAACACAACTTTCATTGCAGGGTCTTGATCGGTAATCAAACACACAGGCTCGTTATTTCCCATTGCTTTAAGAAAAGTTTTGAAAACCCATTCAAAAGATGATATATCCTCATGAGCTACAAAAGAAGCCGCAAAAGTAACACATTTTTTTTATGATGATCAACTCCAGTAAATGGACCAAAGATCATATTATATCTGTAACATACACAAATTATTTATGCAGAAAATAGAGGTAAACTTTAGAACATAGAGGTAAATTGTAGAACATAGAGTATACTTTAGAACATTAAGGATAAACTTTAGAGGATAGTAATTTAATTTAATTATTAAACGTGGCAGTAATATAGT